CGGTACACGTACCCCCTGCTCATCTTCAGGGACGCGGAGTAGGTGTTCTTCTTCGGAGGGGAGGGGCTCGCTTCCTCGTGTTATCGTTGTATTTTCCGCCGAAGCCGACGAAGGGGAAAACAATTCCTGCATACCTCACGTGCTGTACTAAGCTATCAGGGTGGGCCCAACAAGTTCTAGAACGTATGCCGGCCGCCTACACTCCTGTGGTGATGGCGGATGTGAATGACGGGGTGGGGATTGTCAAGGAGGACCAGAAATGGAGTGCCGTGCAGTCGTCTGCTCTCGGCCCTGCGGTTGGCCGTGAAACTCATATCGGGGGAGCGGGGCAGTGTTTTCGACATCTTCTTGAACGCGCGGGACTTGTCACGGTGATGTCTTTGGGGGCCGTGGTGCCGACTTTTTTCGGGACGGACGGAGGGTGGTCCATGCTGGATCATCTAGCTATTCCTGGGAATATGGTGCCGTTGCTCCAGAGTAGTGGTGCCTTGAGACGGATGGCGCGCCGGCTACAACTAATCTCGTGTAAGGAGCCCCGGGACCATGTTCCAGTACACGCTGTTCTTCGGCTTCCGCTCCACCCAGGGGGAAAACAACCGGTCCTAGTGGGACCTGACGGAGTCCCGATGGAACGCATTCCGTGGGATAAGGATGCCCTGATGCAGGGGGTGGTGGGGTCCCTTCAACGAGAAGATTTTCTGGCCAAGGTCACGGAAGTTTTGGAGTCCAAGGGGGAGGAGTTGGAGGAGATGAGGCAGGCGACCACCTCTGATAAGATGTTTGAGGAACTTAACAAGGTCCTTCAGGAGGCAGGGCAGATGTTCTTCGCGGCGGGCCGGAAGGACCCCGATCGCCAGAAGTATATCCAGGAGCGCGAGGAGCTCTTGTGCCATCGCCGCCACCTTCGTGAAACGCTGGGTCGGTCCGGCGGGGAGGAGTTGGACCGGGTGCTCGCACAGTTGAAAGTAGTTGACAAACAGTGCAGAAACATTCTCGGAAAACAACGTCGAGCTCAACAGGACAAACTGGTTGAAGAAATTTACGAGGCGTGGAATCAGAGAAAGATCGCACGAGTACATAATCTATCTCTACTCCTGGCAGGGGGAACGAGGGGATCACGGAGGCGGGACTTTTCGAAAATCCGGGGCAGTCTTCCTACTTCCGAAGAATGGCTGGATCTCTGGGGACTTCATGGGGGGGATGGCGGAATGGAGGCAGTAAAAGTGGACTGGCCCCAGCTCCAGGCGAGGCAGGCCGATTACGTGCGCGCCGGTAGGCTGGCCATTCCAGAAGCTGTAGCCCAGGAAATGGCTGAAAGAGACATGAAGAAATTGATCAAATATTTACGCAAAGCTCCAAAAAGGCGGGGAGTACCGACTTGGGCTTGTCCACTTGAGCTTTTTCACATGTGCCTCATCCCGCCCAGTGGCATAGTACAGCGTCGTGGCCTTGGGCACGAACCGCGTGCAGTGCTCTCCGAAAGTGTCCGCGACTGGCTGCTCGCCTCCTTCACTAAGCTCCGACAGTGTTGGGCTCTACCAATCAAGTGGTCGTGCAGTCAGGGCTTCCCCCTCTTCAAAAATACACAACCGGGAGCTCGTGGTAGAAGAGTTGTTCATGGTCTTGATCCCCTCGGAAAGTGTTTTGTGGCATCCCTGGAGGACCCAGGGTCCCGACCTCGTCCGTCCGAGTGTGACCATGGTTTCTTGAGACGCAGACGTCGTGAAGATGCGATCGTTTCATCAATGTGCACGGGGTGGAGACTCCGCCAAGCTGGTTTTGACTGGATCGATCTTTTGAAAGACATGACAAACGCATTCGCTTCGACTTCGTGGAGGGCGCTCGATCGTGCCACGAGGTGCTACACGGGAGACTTCCATCACGGTCTGGGGGTTCAGAGGTATCGAGTGTCGTCGTGTTTGTTGCCCACGCCGGAGGGGCAGCTTCTGATTAAAAACTCGTGTGGCGCATTCATGGGCGACCCATTTGCCGTCCACACCTTCCTCGAGGCGTTCCGCGTCCCAGTGGACGCTTGGATAGCGGAGTACCGTGCGTCTGACGAGGATGATGCATTGCTTGAGGCAGAGGTTCCCTTCGTGTCCCCTACTAAAGTTTACCTGGGGCTGTTCAAGTTCGCTGACGATCTGAAGAAAAAGGTAGTTTTGAACAAGGGCTGGACAGTCAAGGACGTAGAGCGCAAAGTGCAGCTATGTGACCAAATACTAGATCGAGAACTAGCGGGTGCGGGGTACCGGAGGAACATCAGCAAGCAAGAAGCTATTCTATCTGTGGGAGGGAGGGCTAAGCGGAGGCTAGCAAACGAGCTGAAGAAATATAACATTAGTGCTGCTGAACACGTTCGGTACCTGGGGCCTGTGCTTTCTGCTAGCCAGTCGTTTTCGGGGGAGCTCGTCAAAAGAATAGCGGCGATGAAGCAGTCTTATTTCATGATGGGGAAGTTTTGGTCTGCGCCCAACGTCCCCTTCAGATGGAAAAAATGTCTTATGGTATGCCGAGTTGCAAATGGACTCCTTAGTGCAGGTGAGTGCTTTCTCCCGAGCCCGGCACAAACGAAACGCATGGACCTTGCTCTGGCTGGGCTCTGCCGTCGTGCGATGCGCGGGGCGGCAGCATGGGAGACTGAAAGGGGTATCCGGTGCTTGTCGTCCCAGGCAGTTTTGGAATGGTGGGGAATCCCACCTACTGGGGTGGAACTCCGGGTTCGTCGCCTGCGTTGGCTGCAAGAGATTTTCCGACGACCCGAGCAGCATCGGCAAGTAGTGGGGGCAATCTTCGGCAAATTCAGTTTCGACCAGGCTGTGTTCGACGAGGGGGGCCGGGTTGTTCCTGGGGCCAACCCGTGGGCTCTGAGGGCCCAGGAGGATATTGTGGTGTTGGCCCAGTGCTCGGAGGAGGCGGCGGTCTTGTGGGGGTCGGTCAACGAGTCGATCGCTGCTTTTTTCGAGTGCGAGGTCGCCCAGGCCTTTTCGAGAATCGACGTGGGCATCCTACGTCGGGCCGCGACTACGGTGGAGGTTCCACCGTGGGATTGCCGAGAGGAAGCTGCGAGGGCTGAGTCTAACGCCCTCTTGACAGAACGATGCCACGTTTGTAGCTGGTGCGACTCTCAGGGAGCATGCGACGCAGCTTTCGCAGATAGACGGGGTCTTCTTAATCATTTGCGATCGGCCCATAAAGTCAAGACATTTTCAGCAGCGGTGACAGTCACGAACCAGTGCGTGGCCTGCCGTCAGATATTTTCCACGAGATTGGCTGCGATTCATCATCTTTCGGGGGCTCTCCAGCATCAGCGTTGCTTGGTGGATAAGGCCTCTTCTTTGAATAGCTTGCAGATTCCGGCGTCCATGTGCTGTCAAATTTGCGGCTCAGAGTTCGGCGACCTTTCAGCCTTCACTGACCATCTGAGTACGCATCTTCCTTTTACACCGCGGCTTCAGCAGCTCGGCCCTGGACGGCAGCATGTCGATGCTGGTGGACCTGGCCGGAGACGACGTGGAACTCCCCGAGTGGTCAGCGCCCATGCGCCCCAAGCGCAAGGCGTCCGCCGCAGACCAAGGGTCGGCCAAGGCTCTCGCGTCCGAAGCGAGCAAGCTGGCCAAGGGGAGCCAGAAGGGCAACAAGGACACCCTCATGGCGCTCGTGCTCATACTCGGGCGCCTCGTGCTCATGAACGCGCGGGAGCTCGCCGACCTCACGGCATCGACGTTTCACACCTTCATCCTCCCAGAGCAATGCTGGATCGCGCTGGCGGCGATTGCGGCGGGGAAGCACTACCACGAGCAGGTGGAGGCGCTGCGCGAGCAGAAGGAGTCGGACCCGCAGGTCGACATGTCTCAGCTCGGCCCGCCGTTCCTGGTGGTGCTCATGGCAGTCTTTCTGAACATGCGCCAGAACGTCGGGGAGCAGTACAAGGAGAAGGCAGAGAAGGTGTGGAGGGAGGTCTTCAAGGGGTCCAGCCGCGAGGAGATCGCAGAGATGGTGCCGTACTTCCGCGTCCGGAAGCCCAAAGGGACGGTCTCGAAGAAAATGGAAGGCAAGGTGCGCTTGCAAGTTCACATCGACAAGGGCGTTCCGAAGGCCCTGGAGGTACACGAGCTGCTGGTCGCGGCCCTGGCCGAGGTCGGGGCGGAAAGGGTGATCGGCCCCGCGCCGCGGGGCTCTCTCGAGCGGGAAGCTGGGCGATTGCTCGAGCGCCTGGGCAAATGAGTAGCAGCGCGCGCTTGCGAGGGCTTGTGGCTTCGGGCCAGTTCGTGCCTCCTCCCGAGTGGGCGGCTGACGCTTTTGTACATATTGCGAGCCCGCCGGGGGAGGAGCAGCGTAAGGGGCGGGGGGGCGGGGAGGCGTGTGGGAAGGGAAAAGGCAAAGCGACTCCACGACCTGCCCTCGGCTTTAAAGGGGGTCGTCGGCAGGGCAGGGGTCGGGCGTAGAAAAACACCGGTCTGACGCAACTTAGGTGGCAATCTAAACGGTCGCGGCAGTGCGGCGGTGACGTTTACTCGGCCGGCCGAGCCGAGCAGATCAGGGATACGGAGTAACCCATTTTCGTATCCATCCATGTCGTCCGCCCTGCCGGGCGTTGGCCGGTGGCGCGTGAATCCATATGTACGTATCTGGAGGTGCTCGACGGGGGCCCCTGTCGGCACTGCTGTGCTTTTTGGGTGCCCCTAGGGCCCGAGCGATGTTCTCGCCAGCCGGGTTCCCTGGAGGCGGAATGTTTTGGTAAAGCTTTAACGGCTTGCATAGATAGCGACGGCGGGGCAAGGCAGACTCCAGGCTATCGGAATGCTTTCGTATCGTATCGTATCCTCGTCCTCCTCGTCCCTCCCCATCCCCACCCGGCCAAGATGTTTCCTCTGCACCATCGGAGAATACCCCTAAGGGACCCTGCCTTTTTGAGAACTGTCCCCTCCCCCTGCTGGAGGACCGGCAGGATGGCTCGGCCGAGCCCGCGGCAGACAGCTCGGCCATCTGCTCGAACGTCAGCAGCCGCACCGGAGCGGCCGCCGGCGCGATGTGCCGATCGGCGGTGAAGACGCCTCCGACGTCCTCTCGGGACGCATCTGCTGGCTCCACCACTCTCCTTGCTCCTCCTTGCTCTTCACCCTGCCTCCTCCTCCTCCTCCTTCTCCTCCTCCTCCTCGTCCTCCTCCTCCTCCTTCCTTCCCCATCCTCCTCCTCCTCCCCCTCCTCCCCCACCCGCCACATCACATTCTGCATCCCTCTGCCTCTCCTCCTTGCTCTGCGCCTGCGCCCTGCGTCCCCCTCCCTCGTCCCTGCTCGTGCTCGTGCTGCCGCTGCTCCTCCTTCTCCTCCTTCTCCGCCTCTCCTCGTCGTCGCTGCCATCGCCCTAACAGGGTAGCCGTCATCGACGTCCTCCTCTTCCTCCTCGTTCACCGCGTCGTCGACCTGGTCCTCCTCCTCCTCCTCCTCCTCCTCCTCCTCTTCCTCCTCCTTCTCCGCTTCCTTCTCCTCGAACCCCGCAAAAACCCAACGTAGAACAAATATCATTCAATCCGCCTCCGTGCCCCCTGACGCATTGAGGCGTCGTAGAATGCTCAGTGCTTTCTGTCTGGTGAACAGTTTGCTTAAAGGGCCCTTCCCCCTCTCGTCACAATGTCCTCCGTGCATCGCCCCCCCCCCCCCCCCTTCCGACGGGCACTGGGCGCCCACACGCCCGCCACCCTGGCGATCTCCAAGGCGCCCAAAATGCCCAAGATGATTCCCAGACGGCCGAAGTACCAAGGCTGCGAAAATGACCCCAGATGCCTCCGACACGGCCCAAAGAGGCCTCGAGACGGTCCAAGACGACCCCAATACGGCCCAAGAGAGCTTCAAGGAGACCCTCAGGGGCACGGAAAAGCCCAAACCATTCATTGTCCAATGAACCTTTGACTGATGTTCATGTTCTCATGTCCTCGGGCTTCCGTCAGCGCAAGACGGCCCAAGAGGCCTCCAAGATGGCCCCAAGACACAGCCCAAGAGGCCCACACAAGAACCTCAAGGCGGCACAACAGGCGCTCGAGATGGCGCAGGGGGCCTCCAAGACGACCTGAGAGACCCCCAATCCACGACGACGCTCTAGGGCCCCAAGAGGGCTCCATGGCGGCCCAGAAAAGTTCACTACGACGGACTCGAAGGCGCCAGACTGCCCAAGAGCCAAGAGCGCCCAAAGAGGGCCGAAGGAGCGCCCACGAGCCCCCCCAATGCGGCCCCAAGAGAGGAGGAAAGAAAAGGAAGGGAAGAAGACGTCGACGAACACGAAACGATACACCCCGACACGACGCGGAATACTGTGTCACAGGTCACAAATCTCTAAAGCCTCGGGACACAGAAGTGAATCACGTTGCGGCTTCCTTCGCGCTCCGCAAACAGTAGCTACCTAGAGTGCTGGGCTGGCACAATGGCTGGACTTGTCGCAAGCAGCTGAATGCACAAGAAACACACGATCCTCTCTCCTCATCCTCCTCATCGTCCACCTCCCCTTTTTCCTCCTCCGCATGCACCATGTCCTCGAACCCCTGCCGCGACAAAACATCGCCCTACACATGTATCTTTGTCGTCTCATCCTTTCCGACATACTTGTTCTTAAAACTCCCGACTCCATCACCGGGGACCGGCGGGCTGTTATTGTTTTTCGTGGCAGTCCCGCGGGCCCGAAAAGGGCCTCCAGAATTGGTATCCGACACGCCAAATGTCACGGTCGTCCTTCCTCCTCCTCCATGGCGGGCGCATCTTCTTTTTACGTGTGCTCTTCTGTTACTCCTCCTCCTCCTCTTCGTCCACACCTTCATCCCACAGTGGGCGTGCACCCCACTTTCACCACCCGCACCTCCCAGCACCCCTTCTTGCGACCACCCCACCTCCAACGAGGCCTCCAAAAACTCCCCAGGCTCCTCCTCTCCCCTCCTCCTCCCGCTCCTCCTTGCAGGGGAAGCCAAAGGGTTTCCTGGAACGCCCTGGGAAATCGGCATCCAGAGCTGGAAACGATCGGAAGGTCGGATCGGCACAAAAAATCCGGCGTCTGCGGACAAGGCCGAAGTCAAAGCTGGCAGCGAGACGGTCGGAACCTGGCAGGCGGACATTGAGACCGGATCAGATGGGAACCGGTCCTATCGTGATTAACTACCGGACCACCCCAACCCAACCCGAAGGCCCGAATTAGACCCAAGTTTCGGATTGGGAGGGGTACGAGCTTCATATGTGTTTTTTCAACGCTCCCCGACCCCCCCCCACTGGAAATGAAGGGCAAATCGGGGACTTCGGGTTGGGTTGGGGTGGTTTGGTGGGCAGTGATATCGGGCCCCGAGAACCAGCGGGGGGGGGCGGGGGGCCAAGGACGCGGGACGCATTGAAACCTTTCCGGACAAGAACGGGAAGCGCCGCTTCTCTGAGCTTGCGTGCGCACGCGCAGGGCTTTGCACACAACGTGGAACGTGTGCACATGGGGTTGGCCGTCGCTGGGCTTCCCTAAACGCCCAGATGGTTGCCATGAGTAGCTGTTGTTGAGTGGTTGCCTCTGGTTGGTTTGGTCAAGTGTTGCGCGTGGCCTGTATGCGTGTGTGCGTGTGTGTGCTTGTGTGTGCGCGTGCAGGTGCGTGTGCGGCTGTGTGCGTATGTGTGCCTGCGTGAGAGCGTGTATGCAGTATGTGTTCTGGGGGGTGGGCGGGACGGGGGTGTGTGCGGTGTGCGTGCCCGGTGTGTGCTGGGCGGGCGGGCGGGGGGGGGAGTACGGTGAGCGTCCGTTTTAAACCGCATGGCCGTTTGAACCCGCCTGGCCGTGGAAGGCTATCTAGATCAAACAAGGCCGGTTTGACCCGCGTGGCCGTTATAACCCGCGTGGTCGTTTTAACCCGCATGGCCATTTTAACCCGCCTGGCCGTGGAACGCTACCTAGATCCAGCGTGGCCTTTTTAATCCGCGTGGCCGTTTTAACCCGCGTGGCCGCTTGAACCCGCATGGCCGTTTTAACCCGCCTGGCCGTGGAACGCTACCTAGATCCAGCGTGGCCGATTTTAACCCGCATGGCCGTTTTAACCCGCGTGGTCGTTTGAACCCGCATGCCGTTTTAACTCGCCCGACCGCGGAACGCTACCTAGATCATATTCGACCGAGTTGGCGATCGATCTGAACAACTCCAGTTTCCGAGGATGTCTCGAGCGAGAGCCTCACTTTCAACACTAAAACGTCTTAAAACAACTGTTTCAACATCCCCGTTGTTCGAGGATGTCTCAGGCGAAACAGCCATTTCCGAATATTCGGCTGATTTCGAGACCGATCTGAACAACTCAATTTTCAGAGAATGTCTCGAGCGAGAGCCTCACTCTCAACACTAAGACGTCTTAAAACAACTGTTTCAACATCCCCGTGTTTCGAGGATGTCTCAGGCGAAATGGCCATTTCCGAATATTCGTCCGATTTCGCGACCGATCTGAACAACTCCATTGTCCGAGGGTGTCTCGAGCGAGACCTTCACTTTTAACGATACGACGTCTTAAAACAACTCTTTCAACATCCCCGTTGTTCGAGGATGTCTCAAGCGAAACGGCCATTTTGAGGGGAACCTTTCCAGACAATAACAAGAAGCGCCGCTTCTCTGAGCTTGCGTGCGCACGCGCAGGGCTTTGCACACAACGTGGAATGTGTGCACATGGGGTTGTTCGTCGCTGGGCTTCCCTAAACGCCCAGATGGTTGCCATGAGTAGCTTGTGTTGAGTGGTTGCCTCTGGTTGGGTTGGTCAGATGCTGCACGTGGCCTGTATGCGTGTGTGCGTGTTTGTGTGTGCTTGTGTGTGCGTGTGCAGGGGCGTGTGCGGCTGTGTGCGTATGTGTGCCTGCGTGAGAGCGTGTATGCAGTATGTGTTCTGAGGGGGGGCGGGACGTGTGCGTGCCGGATGTGTGCTGGGCGGGCGGGCGGGGGGGGGAATACGGTGGGCGTCCGTTTTAAACCGCATGGCCGTTTGAACCCGCCTGGCCGTGGAAGGCTATCTAGATCAAACAAGGCCGGTTTGACCCGCGTGGCCGTTATAACCCGCGTGGTCGTTTTAACCCGCATGGCCATTTTAACCCGCCTGGCCGTGGAACTCTACCTGAATCAAGCGTGGCCGTTTTAACCCGCGTGGCCGTTTTAACCCGCGTGGTCGTTTTAACCCGCATGGCCATTTTAACCCGCCTGGCCGTGGAACGCTACCTAAATCAAGCGTGGCCTTTTTAACCCGCGTGGCCGTTTTAACCCGCGTGGCCGTTTGAACCCGCATGGCCGTTTTAACCCGCCTGGCCGTGGAACGCTACCTAGATCCAGCGTGGCCGTTTTAACCCGCGTGGCCGTTTTAACCCGTGTGGCCGTTTGAACCCGCATGCCGTTTTAACCCGCCCGACCGTGGAACGCTACCTAGATCATATTCGACCGAGTTGGCGATCGATCTGAACAACTCCAGTTTCCGAGGATATCTCGAGCGAGAGCCTCACTTTCAACACTAAGACGTCTTAAAACAACTGTTTCAACATCCCCGTTGTTCGAGGATGTCTCAGGCGGAACTGCCATTTCCGAATATTCGTCCGATTTCGCGACCGATCTGAACAACTCCATTTTCCGAGGATGTCTCGAGCGAGCCCTGCTTTCAACACTAAGACGTCTTAAAACTACTGGTTCAACATCCCCGTTGTTCGAGGATGCCTCAGGCGAAGTGGCCATTTCCGAATATTCGGCCGATTTCGCGACCGATCTGAACAACTCCATATTCCGAGGATGTCTCGAGCGAGAGCCTCACTTTCAACACTAAGACGTCTTAAAACTACTGTTTCAACATCCTCGTTGTTCGAGAATGTCTCGAACGAAACGGCCATTGTGAGGGGAACTTTTCAGGACGAGAACGGGAAGCGCCGCTTCTCTGAGCTTGCGTGCGCACGCGCAGGGCGTTGCACACAACGTGGAATGTGTGCACATGGGGCTGGTCGTCGCTGGGCTTCCCTAAACGCCCAGATGGTTGCCATGCGTAGTTTGTGTTGAGTGGTTGCCTCTGGTTGGGTTGGTCAAGTGCTGCGCGTGG